GACGGCCGCAGGGAGGAAGAGGAGCCCAAGCTGACGCCCGGCGCGCAGGTAGGCGCGAGCGAAGCGACTTTGGCTGCTCGGGCGCTTTGGCTTCCCGGGAGCGGGGTCGGGGCCGGGGCGCGGGGGGCGCAGGACCAGGCTCCCCGGGCGGGGGCCGGAGCCCGGAGCCCACACCCAGGCCCTAGGCAGGGCTTTCCTCCTCCGAGGCGGGCGGCGAGGCTGCACCCCTCGTTCGAAAGCCGAGGCCCGGCCCGGCCTCCTGAGACCACCCTGAGAGCTGCCGCCCGCCGCCGCCGCCGCCGCCGCCGGGCTGCAGCAGAGGCGAAGCGGTCTGCCCAGACACGCACACGGGCCCCCTCGGATCGGGGGCCAGCTCGGCCCCCTGGCTCCTCACCTCCCCCGGGGCCCACCTGCTTCCCACCCACTGGCCTAGGGGGGGCGGCCCTGGGCGCTGGGCCCTGGGAGCAGCTCCACCCCTTCCCTTCCCTGCACCGCCTGCAGCCACTGCCCCCTCAGCAGCTGTGCCCCCAGCATTTGTCTCCTGGGCCTCCCCTCCCCGCCCCGCAGCCAGCCCCGCTGGCTTCCCTGAACACGGGCAGGGCTCCCGCGCCGAGGTGGACCCCCAGCAAACCCAGCCCTTTCTCCCCTCCCTCTCCGGGGCCCACCCCGACCCCCGGGCTCCGCCAGCCTGCCGAGAACGAGCAGTAGGAGCAGTCCCCAAAGCTGCCCGCTTGCCACCTGGAGGAAGGTCACTTTTTCTTTAGAGCGAAGGCGCTAATGGGAGGCACCCTGCCGGCCGGGGAGGCCTGGGCTGCAGTTGCCGCGGGAGGGTCTTGGCACCCCGGGGTGGGTGGCTCCCTCCCCCTAAGCTTTACGCTGACAAAAGAGTTTTGAGTTGGTGTTTTGGCTGAGCCTGCCGAGGAAGGCAGGCTCCTGCAGGAGACTTGGAGGGTCGGATGCAGCGCCCGGATGAGGATGAGGCGTGGCGGAAGATGCGTTTGGCTCTGCAGACACTGCATCGGGCAGCAGGGGACTCTGGGAGGCTGGTGCAGCCAGAAGGCATGGCTCTTGACAGCTTTCTAGTAGAATCTCTGGAATTGTGCATGTGAGTGGGGATGTCATTTGGGGTACTGTTCCCAGAAAGCCTTCCCTGACCTCCCCAGTTGCGTCAGGTGCCCCCTCTACCCCCCCGCAGCCCTCCGTGCTTCCCTCTGGTAGCACTCCCTATTCTGTGATGAAACGTTCTGTGGCTGTGTCTGTCCCTCCGCCCCCCTCCTTGGCTCTGGACTGTGAACTCCACAAGGGCATAGACTGTATCATCTCTCTCTGATCCTCTCCATGCCTAGTCCAGGCCTCTGCTGACCCAGAGTAGACACTAACCAGGTGAACGAGAGAGGAAATGAAGCAGTCGAGAATCTGTGCTGATTGTAACCCAGTTTTGACGCTGGTCTCCTTTGTGTCTCAGCTCACAATGAGGTTGTAAGTTAATGACTATCTCACTTAGTAAGTGTCAGAGTTAGCATCTTCCTCCCCACCTCCTGTCCTGGGCTGAGACTAGTTTTAGGGGTATGCCAACCCCCAGGTTGAACCCCACGCCCCACAGGGTCTAGGATAGGACCCAAAGCTACTTCTCCTCCCCAGCCTTCTCTTCCTCCTGCCTCCTTTCAAACCCCTCATCTCCCCAGTGCTGTTATCCAGAGCGGTGAAGTGGGGGGGGGGGAGAACAAGCATCCACTCCCTGCCCTTTCACTCCCCCCAGTACTTAAGGGTCCTTGCCACGTCCAGTTCCACTCAACCAGCCTGTAGCTTTCATTGCACAGAGAAGCCAAAACAGCCTAGCTGACAACTTACCCATTCAGCTTGCATTTAGGACACAACTTTCCCAAGGGCTATGACCTTTAACTTGTCTGACACCTAGGCTCCTGCTTGTTGTCTGCTCTGCTCCACTGCTTGATCTGCCCGTTTATTCCTGTATTCATGCCAGGCACTTTGACACATAGCTTACTTCGAATCTTCCCACCACCTCAGCCTTGAGCACAATGGTGATGCATTCATTACTCGTGCAATGGTTCAGTTTTGCCACATAAACTCAGAATGCAGGACCATGTCTGTCACCATCATCCCCCTATGCCTACTGATTAGCAAATGTGAATGAGCTGAAGGATGTAATGATAAAGGCCCCATTTTACAGATGAAGAAACAGAAATCCAGACTAAATATCTACCCTGAATAACTCCCACTATCAATCTCGGGCCAAAAAGAAAAAGAAGACGCTCTTAAGTACTTTGGGGAATTTAACCAGGCTTTTCTTTGTTTTTTCCTTCTTCACTAAGGCCACAAAAGGGTGAACAAACTGACAAACTCTCCTTCCTGATTGGGTCCCACTCTCTTGCTGAGGGGTCTAGCTGCCAGAAACAGGCTTTTATTGCCCTGGTCAAAAGCACTGGCTGAATGGGTTGGGGTCAGTCACTGCTATGCCCACAGGTGACTTTTAGTGAGGATCCTCTGGATTCCACCACCACCCCTAACTCTGTCTTATGTACACAGAGTGGGAAAGTAAGGTGAGACCCAATGTCACATACCAAATTTCAGACAAAGATAGGAAAAAGGGCCACTTCTAGTCCACAGACATCAAATGTTCCAGTTTATGTTTTGTTTGGTTTAATTTGAGCTACTATTTTAACAATCTGAAGATTTCCCAAAGGCCTGGTTTTATGCTTTCTCTGAGAACTCTGAAAATCTGCTGGTGCTGGGCATCCATCCCCTTCACCCCCACCACCCCTCACCCCCACAGGGCAGTAATCTGGACTGTGAGCACTATCTGCTCCTTTTAGATGGCCTGTGTTCCTGAGGCTGTTTCTCATCCATCCAGTGCCCTTCACTCATTGGCATAACCTGTGCACATTTAATAGGAGTTGGGTAAAGGCTCTCGGGAGCCCTGGGACCTGGTGGGTTATGCGTTGGGTTGCTAACCACAAGGTCAGTAGTTCAAGCTTACCAACCACTCAATGGGAGAAAGATGAGGCAGCCTGCTTCCATAAAGATTTACACATGGAAACCTTGTGAACAGTTCTACTCTGCCTCTGGTCACTATAAGTCAGTATGAACTTTGTGGCCCTGAGCTTGGTTTGCTTTTTGGCATACATTTACATGCAGGGCCTTGAACTAACTCACTGCTGTGGGGCCAGTTCTGATTCAGTGACCCCATAGGACAGCAGAACTGCCCCTGTGGGCTTCCAAGGCTGTAAGTCTTTACACAGCCTCATCTTTCTTCTGCGGATTGGCTGGTGGGTTAGAACTCCTAATCTTGTGTGGTTAGCAGTTCAGTGATATGCTACCAGAGCTAATTGGAAACCCAAAAAAATCCTCATTTCAAGTTGTTTCAGGCAGCTAAGCTACTTTGATCTGTTCACCAAGAACCCAAACACGCACACACCCCTACTTATTTGCTTCACAAGAAAACAAACAATTACTGTTTATTAGTGAAAAATAGATGGGGCGTGAGGCACCTAAAAACAGTCGAAGAAGGCAGTGGGGACTAATGGTCATAACTGGGTTGAACTCTCACCTAAGCCACCTCTTACCTTATAGTCCTGGGCAAGTTTCTCTGCCCTTCTGAGCCTCTTTGGCAACCACGCAAGAAAATATGAAGCTTTCAGATGGTCTGTGTTCTAGTACAAAGAGGCTTCTCAAGCCCAAGTGGAAGTGGGAGGCTGCTGTGTGGCTGTTTCTGTGCCTAGGTGGCCAGCCAAAGTTTGCATGTTCTCTCCTGTTCACTCGGCTGGCTGTTGTTAAGTATCTCCTGGGGCCCTCATCTTTGTAAGCCAAGTCAGCACTCAGTAACCTGGCGCCCCCACCCCAGGAGACTTTCTAGAATGAAAACTAGCAGATAGTAGGGGCTGAACTCATGTTAGGCTTCCCCACCTCTTGCTCTTCTCCCCCCTCCGATCTCTCCTAGTATCTCCTAGGAGTGAGCCAGACTGGTTAGAGGACTCTAGTGAGAGCTGGCTCCCCGACTGCTCAGAATAAACCTGTCTCCTCAAGGAATCAGAGCAAAATATCAGTCAGTATCTTTACTAACTCCATCTCGTGATGTTTCAGCAAGCATTCAGTTACCTCTATTAGGGATACAGAGATGAATGAGAAAATCCCTGCCCTGGAGGACCTCCCCTTAGAATCCTGCCCGCCTGCCCTGCTTTCATTGCAAGTGAAAGGAAATGTCACTGAAGGGTCCTGCCCCTAGCAAGCCAAGAGACTTTTTATGTAGAAAAGCCAAAAACCCTTTAAAAATACTCCATTCAGATTTTTAAATTTTCATTTCCTTAGCATATCACAGAGCATTGCACTTCATTACCATGTCTGCTATCCAGATGGACCTGGATTAGAAGCCTACTACCCTGACTTGCTGCGGTGCGGCTTCCTAGATGCTTGGAAAGCAAGAGCTATGCTTTGTTCATCTGTTGGGTGATATACATGGTCTATAGGTGCTGAGTAAATGTCCAACCAAATTATAACAAAAGGTACACTTAGGCCACTTTATTCTTAGCCGTTCCCAGGTCAGGCTAGCAGCCATTCATTTCTCTAGGATGAGTGTTCCCGGAGCTTTTTCTTGCCTGGCATCCACAAATGCTGCAGACACTAACCAACACCTGATCCATGCCAAGCCCTGTGTTAGCTGAGAATGCACAAGTGAGCCCTATGAGTCCTTGCCCACGAGTTGCCTATGGTGCAGAGAACATGTATATGAGCAATGCAATAAAGCTAGATAATAGCATAGTATTGGCATCCTCCAAGTTAAGGTGCAAATTCCAGACCCTAGCAATGGCCTTTGTTTTTTCTTCCTCTTATGTCTTCTCACCAATAAAATGACAATGAAGCCCCTAGGATTCATGTTAGGGTTAAACAGGTAAGCGTGCAAAGTGCTGAGCACAAGCAGCAGCCACAGTTGTGTTAAGTGCTTCACCAAGGATGATGCACAGCTGTGGTACTCTAGATAGCTTCTCCGAGCTGAATCTTCCAGGATGAGTTGTTCCTCCAGAGGTGGGAGAAGAAGGTCTAAACAAAAGAAGTGATAGATACAAAAAGACTGTGCGGCAAGGAACTGACCAACTCATTTGGAGGGTGGGGGCGCTGAAGCTAGAGAGGTTAGCAGGGATCTTGAAAACCACATGGAAAGGTTTGCACTTGATCTTGCAGGCATTGAGACGGCGAGGGAAGATTTCCCGGAGGGAAGTAGTCATGATGTGCTTCAGTAGCTTCCCTGCTAGCCTGTGATGAAGCACTTATCCGGGAGAGGCATCTGATTATGGGACATCTGACTGTGGGACCCCACTCTCCCTCCCTGGAGGCCGGGGGCGGGAGGGGGGTGTGGCGGGTGGAGCGGGGCCACTGATCATCAGAATTCCCTGGACTGGGCCAGTTTTGCCCCTGACCTACAGAACAGCTGCCCCAGACCTAGAACCCAGGAATCTTATTGAATTGCCCTGGGAGATTCTGTGAGCCCAGGTTTGTGGAACCTGTGGGGACCTTTGCCAAGGGAGGCCTATGAAATTCTTGGAAAAACTGGTCTTCCTAGGAGGAACTTTTCCACAAGCAGGACCAGAAGCAAGCTTTGTTTTTTAAAGAAAACTTTCCCTAGTTCTTTGGCGGTTCTCCTATTACTGACACCCTCCAACGGTTAACCTTCCAATGCGTCCTCTGCCTACTGCATGCTGCTTCCCCTGCCAAAGAACTGGGATAAAGAGAACCTCGAGACAGACGCTGCCCTTGAAAAGCTCACAGTGTTGTGGAGAAGACATCTGTCAACAGCTGGAATGCAGGCGATGAGCACCAGTCCTAGAGCAGTAGAGTAGACAGCTGCCATCAAGTCAACTCCAGCTCATTGTAACTTCACGTACAACAGACGGAAGCGGTGCCCTGCTCTGCGTCACCTTCACAATCAGACATGTTCCAGTCTATTAGTGTGGATGTTAGGTTCTGTTACCAGGTTTTTAACGCAAATAGTGTGCATCTAAACACCCCCCCCCCAAAAAAAAATAACAACAACAACCAAAAAAACCCAAAAACTCCTGCCAGCCCTTTTGTGTTAATTTCCTATGCACATTATATGGGGAAAGTATAGTTTGGGTATATGTTAATTTGGGGGGGAGGGTTATGAGATCCAGAGCAAAGCACAATTTGTTCAGCCTGTGGCTTAGAGAGGATGTACACGTATTCTGAGCCTACACTGAAGAGAGGAAGAGGCGGAGGGAGCAGCCCGAGTGAAAGTGCGAGTAGCTCGTGCATTAGGGGAAGAAATGGTAAATGGACCTTCAAGGCAAGATGGGTGCCAAAGCAGGAAAGCAGTCGGTGGAGAGGCAGCCTCACATCCTGGGAGGGCCCATGTTTGCACCTTCACCTCTCTCCAGCTATGGGCCCAGGCTTCCACCCTCATCCTTCAACTCCAGGCAGCTAAATCTGCTACAATCCTGTATACCATGGCAGTCTAAACTTTGTCCACTCAAGACTCCTTTTTTGCCCCAGAAATTTGCAACCTGGGCATGTGCTTCAGAAACACCTCGGATTCCTTATAGGTTTGATTTTTAATTAATGTTTTGGTCCTTAGACTTTCAGAAACCTTTCACTGTTGCCAAATGTTTTGTAACCACCACCCCCTCATTCAGTTACATGACCCACAGTTTAGGAAGGTTTGCTATAAACCAATTTCCCCTTCTTTATAACTCCCCAAGTTGTTTAGCTCCTCAACATCCTGGTCCCCCCCACCCCCACCACCACTTTCCAGATAAATAGATCTAATCCTACTGAAAATATTAGATCTATTTATCTGCTTTGAAAAGGGAAACAAGGGAAACTAGGGCAGGAAAAAGGGTTCTGTGGGACTGCAAACACCAAAGGGCCTTACTTAGGACGTTGCTGCAGAAAACCTGGGCTTGGGGGTTCAAAGAAGCCCTGTAAGTCGCTTGTTCAGTTCTCTGTCCTGTGCTTCAAGTAATCATTTTGGATTGGGCAAGTCTCACTTAGTAAGTTTCCCTGTCATTTCTTCCAGGGCAGAAGAGGAAAGAGACTAACGGGTATTGAGCACCTACTGTGTGCCAGACCCAGGCCAGGTACTTTACATAATTTATTTCCTTCTGTCCTCATAACTCTGTAAAGTATGGTTTTATTCCCATTTCATAAGTGCGGGAATTGAGGCCCAAAGAAGTTGAGTAATATTCTAAGCTCACCCTGAAAATGGCAGAACTGAGATTTGAACTCATAACTCCGTCTTCGAAGCTCATACTCTCACTTATGAGAAGCTTGTGCTGGGGTTACAGAGTAGTAGGTGGGAGTTTTGCTTGAAGATCTAGGTCAATAAGCAAGCAGCAGCTTCAATTTTCCTTTGGCTGTTGGTGCCCAAGAAGCCAGAGCAGTGAGTGAGCTAACCTTGAGGGGCAGAGAGTGTCCCCTGAGTTCAAGAGACTCACTGTCCTGGCCTTGGAAGGATCTGCCATTGACTGCCTGGAGCACTGAGGTGGGCTTGTGTCATCTCCCTGAAAATTAACTGCAGCTCTGAGTGCTGGAATTGGAATAAGCTCTGATTCTTATCTTCATTGCCCCCTCATCTGTGGCTCTGCTTTCATTGTGTAGCATGTTGGGGAAGGGACTGGTCCGGCTGTTTCAAATTCTGTCCTTTGTGTAGAGCAGCTGAGACGTAAGCCAAATGGGCTTTAACCACTCGCTTATTTAGTCATTGCCCAACTGCCTGTTTTTGTGCCAGGCCCAAGTCAAGCCGAGGTCCTGGGGACACTTCATTGACCAAGATCCATTCCTTATTCTCAAAAGTTTTAGCAGGTAGAATACATCCAAGACACAATGTGGGTAGGTGCTATGCTAAAATATTTAGTTTTACTTTGGCCCAGCAAACACATCACTGACCTGTGATCGGGGTCTTAGGGGAGAAGTAGGGATTTACTGTGGGGTTAGGTGGGGGGTTGAAGGCACAAAGTCTTGAAGTTTGGCCAAGTTTGCCTGACTAGAGCTTAAAAGTCTCACACAGGCATTAGAGTGGAGGGGAAGAATGGAGAGGTCAGCTAGAGCCAAGTCATGAATGCCAAGGGGTAGTGGGTACCATGGTGGTGATTTGGTTGCTAGCTAATCCTTTGCGGTACTCAGCGAGGGTGCCTGGCCCAGATGCTGGTGGTGGGAGCAGATGGAACTGTTGAGGGATGAAGCAAGGGGAGAAGAGCTACAAGCAGCCACAAACTAAGTGAGGTGTGGGAGAAACACTGGACATCGTAAACTTTTGTTCCATAGTGAAGCCCAGTGTCTTAGTTTGTTTTTATTCCCTGCTTGAGCCTCAAAAATGACTACCAAGCAACCTGGGACATCAATGACCCCTGTACGTGAACTTGCTTGGTTCGTGCTTGTGTTCTTAAGGCGGAGCTCTCTGCTGTTGGGTGTGTCCTGTGCATCCAGCACAAGGTTGGGCCCAGAAGGGCTCCAAGAGTGTTTGTGGAATGAAGAAGTGACATGACTGGGGTGAGGGCTGAAGTTTATCATGGTCCCTGCTTCCGGGAGGACCTGCAGCTGCAGTTGCTGTCAGCAGCCTGCTCTTGGAATTGGGTGCCTGGTGAGTAGAGGACTCTAATGGAACAGTTCCGGATCGAATTTGGCACCTATTGCAGGGCAGCTGGTTGGATACAGCATGTGTCTGGGGGAAATCCTGTACAAACAGACATGAACTCCTGGGACTAGAGAGAATCCACGGGAGCAGTGAGAGCAGGTTGAACGCTGGGGATTAGATCTGGCTTCAGAGCAGCCCTTGGCAACTTCCTGGTTTGCAATCTAGCTCTTCCCATGCAGTACCCAAATTGTGAACAGAAAGACTGAGGTAGAAAATTGATCCAGATGTGCCAACGAGCCGTATCACTGCTGCTGGTCACAGTTGCTTACCCAGCACTCACTGCAGAGCCGTCCCTAAAGAATCTGGGCTTGAGACTCTTCCGTTGCTCAAAAGTACCGCACCGCCCAAAGAGCTTTTGCTCAGGTTGGTTCTAGATCACATTTACCCAACTAAGTATTGACAGTGAGAACATTTTAAAATATTTCATTACTGATTCATAATAGTACCAAACCAGTCACAGGTTAACATAAATCACCTTTTTATGAAAAATAACTATTTCTCCCTAAAGCTGTGAAATTAATGATTTTTTTGTTTGATTGGGTACATTTCTTTTCTTTCTGGTCTGACTTCATAAAATAAAACTGCATTGTCATATATACTCCTGCATTCAGCCTGTCGCAGGGTGTTGTTTTGGTTGAAGGATATAACCCAAAAACCCAGCCTCACACAGATATGTAAATGGAACAGGGAGGAGTATTTTATTAGTCTCTCCAGATGATTGTAGATATTCTTTGCAGTACAGAATCTGAGCCCAAGTCAGTGAGCTGTTTACACTCAGTTGCATGAAAACCCCTTGGTCTTTCTTGCCCTTGGCATAGATCTTTTACTCACCTGTTTTTGTGACATACTTTGATCATTTGGAAAATCGGTTCATCGCTGAGTTGTACAGATCTTCCAAATGCCCCATCTGATTTTCCAATGTCAAAGTATAACATTTGTGATAATCACCCTCAACTTTATCAGGAACATCTTTAAGTGTTGGGAAGCTGTCAGGCTCAGGGTGGTGGCTACACATGCTTAGGAAGTCCTTTCCCTGAGAAATTCTACTTCCTTATTGGACACAAACACTGTCCGTTGTCATCCCTGAAGTAACAGGCTCGTTTTGCTCATTTTTGAGAAAATGTCTCCCAAATACCTGAATCTGACTAACGGTGCTTGCTGACAGTGCTCTTTCAAGTGGGAATTGTGTCTTAGGGTGAGAAACAGCTAACACTCACAACTCGGTCCCACGCATGCTTTTGTGCGAGGCACCCCAGGCGCTGGTGGGCTGCACACGTGCTTGTGCTTCTTCCCAGTCTTACCACCCCGACCCAGAGCAGCCCTGTGCGGACTGTCCGGGCAGCAGATAGCCCAGGTTGAACCACCAGCCTGGCAGCGAGTGGCCCAGGGCATTCCTGACAGCACCTGGGATATTTAAAAAGCAAATTCTGGAGACAAAATTGTATACGTTTTCTCATTTTCACTTCTTTGTCAAGACTTTTTATATGTAGAATCATGAGTTCATGGCATTGAGGACTGTAGTGATCACCAGTGGTTCTTTCTGTACCACCGCCTTGCTTGGTGTTAAACCCCAACTCCCTGCTATTGAGTACAGCCGAATGCCCAGTGAAGCCGGCAGAGGGCTTCTGAGACTGAGTCTTTATGGAAGCAGACAGCCTCCTCTTCTGTGGAGTAGCAGGTGGGATTGGACTGCTGACCTTTCATGAACAGCCCCTCCCCTGACCCATAGCACCACTAGGGTTTCTTTGATCTATGTTAAGGCACCCGTATAAGTATTAACATAGTGCAAAAGGTAAAATACCATCTTCGGATCATCAAAATATTTTTTACCTCAGGTCCGTGGGCCATACTTTGCTATTCCATGGCATTGATCCACAGTGCTTTGTTATCATCCCATCCAGTGCATATCCTTGCCCTCACCATCGTAAAATTAACGTCTCCAGTATCACTGTGACTAAGACCCAGACTGAGTGTTTGATAGAGTGCTGTTTGGGACCAAAACAAGTAAGCCTGGCTTGTGGCCAAGCAGCATTGGGGTTTTTTGGTCTTAAAGGAGACCCATCACCCTCTTCTCCTGGCAGTGTGGCAGGCTTATAGGCTGCCATCCTCTGCACTGCTGAGTTTTCAGCCTCCAGCTGACCCCTTGGCCAGGCATACTGCACAGCTGTTCATAAGCGTTCTGGCCCACGGGGCCCATATTCCAACCCCAAGTAAGCCCGTTCCTTTTCTGCGTTGTACCTCATTACTTGCTCCTTTGCATTCAAAACACATACAGACCCCTATTCCCATTACCTGAATGAAAACTGATTGTGTTAAGGCCTGTGATAGGCATGCTGCATCTCGGTTGGCCCTGGAAGGCAGGTGGCAATCTGATGGGTTCTTGTGTGTAAGTCTTCACAGGTACAGCAAATGCTTACTTATAAAGTCCAGTGTACCACTAGAGCCAGTGGGCTAAGGACAATGGTTGACTAGCCAGAGTTGCTGCCTTCAATTCTAGCAGGAAAGCCAGGCATGGAAGTAAAAGAATGCAACACGGGGTCTCAGGAGTATGCCAAGTTGTGCTGGCTCCAAAGAAGTCCAACTTCTTCCGCATTTTTCCTAACTAGACACCGAACTTTAGTACATGAACCAGAAAATAAAATGATTAATTGTATGGTCAACTTCCCCCGACCTTTGATTTGTTATATGTATATATATATAATTTTTTTTTTCCTCTAGTTGATCTGGGGGAAACTAGGATGACCTAAGCTTTGGGCCTGGTCACATGAGAGAGAAAAGATACTAGGTCTCCTGGCTGCAGTTGCTGTTCTCTTCGAACTACAGTGCCTCCGACTTCCTGGCTGCTCCGCAGCAGGAGTCCCTGGATGAGTAACCCCAGACTCTCCACCAGAGATTCTGGTTTGGGTCAAAGAGCATCCTGGAGGATTGAAGCAGAATGATCTCAGAGCTTTTGGGAGCAGGTCCCAAATCAAGAGAGACACGATAGCCTTTCTTCTTTTCCTCTTCTGCTTACAGCTAGAACGGTGTCCAGAGAAGTTCTGAAACTCAAGCTGAAGTGAGAAGGAATAACTAGTTCCAGGGCTTCTGGGCTTCAGAAATAAATCATCAGCCTTTATGATGAAGAAATATGGTTGGCTATTTCATTAATTCAGTAAATTTTTATTGAGCTTGTTCTGTGTGTGGAAATATGTTGCCAGGTGCTAAGAGTACAGCTTGAGAAGAGCCTAGGTAAAGCCTAGGTTGACTGGCCCTTGGGGATGATATAAAGGATCAGGATTGCCAGGAATTGGGGGAATGACAGGAGATTGCTGCCAAACGGCATTCTGAAGTGAGTGCTTTTTCTGCCAAAGCAAAATCTGAAGTCACAGTGGTATTACTGGCCGAAAGCAATAGCTCTAGGACCTGGGGTTTCCACCACCCTCTGGCAACTAGGGCAGAGATTAT